CTGATACACAAAAAACAGATATCAGTGATCCAAATTTTTGATTTTACCACTTTTTTGTAATTATGTATATACTCTGTGATATTTATGTCTGTGATAAAAATATGAATTGAAATATCTCATTTATATTAGATCGGTGCCAAGGGTGTAGCATTCAGTTCTGTCCTTATAGAAATAACAAACCAAGGGTCAGCTGTGATGAATAGTTATCAGACAGGATCAGCTGTGATGAATAGTTATCAAAGATCAGCTGTGGTGAATAGTTATCACACAAAGATCAGCTGTGGTGAATAGTTATCACACAAAGATCAGTTTGGATGAATAGTTATCAAACAAGGATCAGTTTTGATAAATATCTAAAAGACACAGATCAGCTTTGATGCATAGTTATCAAACAAGGATCAGTTTTGATAAATAGCTATCAGACAAGGATCAGTTTTGATGAATATTTATCAAACAAGGATCAGCTTTGATGAATAGTTATCAAACAAGGATCAGCTTTGATAAATTGCTTTGAGACAAGGATCGGCTTTGATGCATAGTTTTCAAACAAGGGTCAGACTTGATGAATAGTTATCAAACAAGGATCAGTTTTGATGAAAAGTTGTCAGACAAGGATCAGTTTTAACGAAAAATTATCGGACAAAGTTATCAAAGATTGAAACGACAGGCGCCTGATTGAAAATAGGAATGGTGAAAATTGATGATATCAATGACCCCGATACACATATTTTTTATGAAAACCTCTATTCAATCCAGGAAGTAATAAATTTCATTTATGGCATAAATCATTAGAGTTACTTATGACATGATATAAACATGACATCTTGAATCACTCCCTTTATTATTTTCCAATCCATCAGAAACAGGACATGATATCGCTTCACCTAGGAAATTTTTTGCATAAAAAAACGGTTGCCTTTGGTATGTTTTGACCACAAAGGTTGGGCACGTTTGTCTGATGGTGACTGTAAACCCGTTAACTTTAAAGGGGAGGTCTAGTAAAAAAAAAAATTTCGAACATCAAAGAAAATATATTTATTAGACTTTTAAAATCATAAAATTTTCATCAAAATAAAACAACAAAAATGAACACAAAAGAATTAGATGTCATAAAGATTAAATTACAAAGACGCAAAATAA